GGTGTGCGCTTTGTAAGAGACGAACCCTGGCGAAGACAAACGTGTAATTTGGTATGCAATTGTAATTGGGTAATGGCTCTGTTGTGTCTGCGGATCAAGGATGAACGAATTATCTGGGCTCACGAGGCGTTCTTCAGCAACGCGACGCTTTTATATTAAACTATTAAATAGTCAATCAAACGTTTTACCAACCGTGTATTATTTTCCCATTACTGTATTAGCATAATTTCGACGCAATGGCGGGCGACCTGATCGTTTTCTACACGAAGCTCTTTTTCCCTCGAAAATATAAACTTACTTTTTTCTTTTACTAACTTATTACTTCATCTCAAAAAATCTTTTCCTTAAAAATTAAAATTCCCTTCGATATTAATTACTTTTCCCAGGGATTTTAGTACAATTTGAAATGTCTCATTTAACCCCATTATTCTAATTGGGTCGATCGAAAGATAAGACTCGAGCTGCTTTTCGGACGGCCACCTATGGTCAAAAGTAACGAGTAGTTGGAACGAACGCCCCACGCATTCTTGGAGGTCCGTGGAAATTAATTACAATTAGCAGCGTATTCTGTGCACATACCCGCCGTTTCGGTTTTAGAGGTCACGCTCCGAACCAGACGATAAATTTCAATTTCAATCCGATTTATCATACCTCTACTTAGATACACCAAATATCGTACGCCATTATTTATCTCGTCGTATTCCTAATTAAAAGTACCTACCATTTCGTGACAACAAAGATTTTCACATCTACAGAGTGATTCAAGAGTAACATAACTAAAGTGATTGCAAATCAAACTTTTTGTTATATCTTTCGAAAATATTATACACTTAGATTATATGAGTTGCGTGAAAGAAAAATAGCGTGCTTTTAAAGTTTTCTTAATCTTAAACGTGCTTAATCAACTTCTTCAACTAACCCAATTTAGATTTCCTAACTTCCTACTGATACGCTCCTAATTCCAAAAAACAATTTCACTTCTCCGTGAATTGATTAATAGTTGTAACTTCCTGTGTGGTCTTTCGGTGCTCGAGTAATTCGAAAGGTTTAAAAAAAAAGTAAGTCATACCAGGCCCGGGGCAAATTAACGTTGGGAATAAGTAGCGATCCACACAACTGTATTCATCTTGTAAGCGAGAGAGCATTATTCCCATGGCTCAAAACCTATCTAAAGCCACATTACCATTTTTTCCATTACGAAATTTCTAATAGTGACCATTACGCCGTATCTCGTTGGTATGTAGAAGTAACGCAAACACACATAAAACGACGAAACGCGTTTACGTCCACTTAAATCCCATTTTCCGGCGTATTAAAAGTACCGTTGGCGTGGTCATTTTGTAATAGAGAAGTATTCAAATGACTTCTTGTAGGAGAAGACGAAAGAACGTGAAGGCGATTACCGGGTGGTATTGAGCAACCACACCATAAAGTGGCCGATCTGACCGGGAACAGATTAGGTGTGAATCACCGCTTTATTTCTTCCTTATTGGTCGAAATGATGTATTTCGATAATCTTAAACTTCACCAATAATTCTTTGATAACTGTTAGCAATTTCTCTTTTTATATTTGCATAAAGTCTTTCGACTTGGATGAAACGACTCGGAGAGTCTTCTTAAAAATATATAAATCTAAGGATTTGCTGTAAACAGGAACATAAAAAGGCAAGAAACGCGTAAGGTTGTCGTTGAGTGCGATTCAAAGAAAAATCTTTACTCGGCAGAGGAGAATTTTATGCCCTTTCAGTAAACTTTTTTCCGTTAAATCTGACGTGCCGCACGTCGATCACCCAGTTCCATTTCTTTTTTCTTCCTATTCGAGTTAGTGTGGGAGCGAAATCGATGAAAGGTTTCCTTCCATGTGATAAAGAAAAACTTTTCTCGTAAAATTTTCTAACAAGAAATTTGAATTGAAATTACCCTTAACTATAAAGACCCTAAATCTCTAATATATCAGGAGACTTCAAAGAGACCCACATAATAAAACCAAAATATAACTCATTTTTCCGGGAAACGTTTAACGCTTCTCTCCGGTACGGCATCCTTTATACACGATCTTTCTCATTAAATTACGCACACCTCTCCGACCATATTCATCGGTTGATCCTTGGTTGAAACCTTACCGCCTTCGACTTTCAAGAAATCCATCGAGCAAAAAACTCAAACCGCGCAATAAAACCCCGTGAAAATGCACAATTAAACCGTTGAATAAACCTTTCGGGACTCTCTCGAAGTGCTTGACTTAACAAGTCGTTAACATGTTGACGGCAATGTTTCTAGGAAAATCCGCACAAAGGAACCAAATCTATGGTTCATTTTCAAGAAGTAGTCCTTGGATCATTATTTTACCCAAAGAACCACCTGAAAGTGTTATCAAAAATTTACTTGTAAATACGTAGGTACAATAGAAATTTATTCATTTGTAATAACAATCAATTTCAAGTTTTCTTGTATAATCGTAACCACAAAGAAATTTAATTGCTCTCTTTTTCATACGGACAGGTAACAACCGTTCTATCCACCTAAAAGACATATGACAGTTCACCTGGAGGGCATTCCATGACACCAAACAGACAGACAGAATGAGGACCATTAACATGTCCATCATTTCTCGACTGGATGCTTGCGCTGTTTGCGCACATTAATTAAATAAAATGAGATTTTACACAAACGGTAGTTTTAAATGTTTCGCTATTCTCTTATTTAGTCGAGTTGTATCTACTAAGGTTACCTTTAAAGAATTAAAATAAATCGTTTAAACGCTTTAAATGATTTTATGGGCTCAACTTATAAAGTAAAAGGACATAATAGTTCTCTTAAAGTCATTTCTTCTTTGTGTTTTAGCTGTATTTCTTTAGCTGGGACAACAAGTGAATTCATTAGATATCGTCTCTGTACGGTGGCTATAGCAACTGCCTCCACCAATACAAATGGTCTTAATTATCTTGCCACTTGCCCCCGGATCACGGGCATTTCTTCGGTCGTCTCTCGTCGGAGAAGGGGCATCTCAACGTTCCCACTGGGACCGATCTCTTCTAATTATTGCTTACACGTGAAGGTGACCCCTACCGTATAAACCCAATGTTGATGTGCACGTATATTCGGCCCAACCAGGTATGTGCTGTGGATGTACAGGTATACGCGTATACCTGTTTTCGGTTTGGCTATTTGATCGCACTACACTTGCATCGAATGGAGGGGCTCGGATACAAAGTGAGAAAGAAGGAATGTGCCTACGATTCCATCCCATCGTTGTTGGAACAAAGCGCTTTTTGTGAACGGCGTGGTCGTTTATTAAAGCTGTCATTTTTTTTTGCCAAAATTGGTTCATAACTTGTTCTTATTTTTTATAATAAAATTATGTTTGTAAATATAAATAAATCTTAAAAGTATTAAAGATAAAAAAGTTTACTATCAAGTTGGTCCAATCGGTGACAATAGGAGATGGACCCGGAGCAAAAAGCGAAACTGAATCGACCATTCTACCCCATATACAACTTTATGGCTCTAGGTTGCGGCATTCGAACAGTGGCCACTAAAAACTCATCATGGGCAAATTATTCTCAAGTCAGGCGGCGTTTCTTAATCGCCCCACCGTCCGGTCGGTGCTAGCATAAATCAGGCGAAGCTCGCGATCAGCACCCCAGATGCCCTTTGCCGAAGGTTTTTGCGAATGAAAACGCTAAGTGGACGGTGCCCGATCGGTAACAAGATGGCGATTTTCGGTTACCTGCTCTTGCGAACCCTCGGTATTGCATTTATGCATTTGGGATTGTCGTAAAGGCACTGGCTGACCTTGCGTTGACCGCTCCAACTCCGAGGAACCTTTTTGGATCTCTTTTTACCCAATTTCAAAGGGGTATTGTGTTGTATTTGGCGCGACTCCTTCAATTGCCACACACAATGTTGACGTTAAAGTACCCATCAACGCTAAATATGAGTTTGCAAAAAATTCTACAAATTTCGATTTAATGAAAGGAAATCAAAAAAGATTTCTATTAAATGACACGTGAATAACCTACAAAACTAGATGTTTTATCGAAGGACCGCCCATTAATCATAGCACTCATTTAAGTTAATCGGAGAGCAACGGAATCATAAAGGAAACGGTAAATTGCATTTAATTCGAGAGCGTAATTCAACTTTCTGCCTGCGGCCGTGATTCATTCGTGGAGGAATCGTTGACCTCACTACGTACTCGAATGATACGACAAAACACTAATTACTTGATTTATAACCGATTTCTAAGACACACCGGTATCTAAATCTAGGAATTACCAAAGAAGACCGGAATTCGGTGTAATTCTTAAGAGCCACGTGTGTTTCCCGCAAGAAAATTTTTTCGATTGTGAAATAAAGTTCGAATGAATTTGAAACCCGTTTTGGAATGCTTTCTTGTTATGTACGTCTTTGGATAAGTTACATGTGAAATAAACTATACCCTAATTTGATATCTAATAAAATGCATGCTTTGCTACAGAGTTTAAAGTATACCTTGTGTACATATACAGTTCTTTTTCTGTACATCTAATTATAGGTATAATACTAATGTAAGAAAACCCACGTGCGCTCATGTGTTTGTAAGTAGTCTGTGTGAGTGGTAGAAAAAGAATAAAAATAGAAGCGCCAAATTAGTTTTTGGTGTCTGTCCGCAGGGGCAGATGTGCGAAGAGACGAGCAAAATGGAAAATAAAAAAATACAACCGAGGAAAATAAGGAACAGTTGTTGGCGAAGGAGTGCGACGATTGAACGAACAGAAAGGGGAAGATGTGTCCCGTCTTTATCTTTTTTTCGAGTAGGTGCAAGTTTTGCATGCGAACACACACACAGAGGAAAACGATCATAAAAAAGATGTCTCGGCATCGCCTGTTCTAAATGTTGTCTGGGCAACATTCTGTGTATCGATGGTGTAGTGTTGGATCCTCTAAACAATTAAGAAAAAAGCATCCATTTACACACACCTTGAACTGGGAACGTTGCGGTCGCATGGCCTGCTTACCTTTGACGATATTAGCGTCAAAGTGGGTGATGATTCCTGAAACAAAAAATAAAATTACTATATGCAGATACAGATTTTTATAGGATGTAATACCTTTATTAAGAATTTGATGAATTATTTGTTTTGACTCTACCCGTTATCCAGACAATAACCTTTCTAGTTAGATACTTAACTATGCTTGTATTTGAGATAGTCTCTCCATGTTAGACAATTTGATTTACTTTTTCACATGCTTTGCTTCATGTCATGACATGTGTTTCCGCAATTATCATCAACATACAATAAAAGTAATAAATTAAAAATTCTTCGAAACACCTAATTATAAATTTATTATTAAATATTGATAAGCAGAAAGAAGCTTGGGCTGATTACATCCTCAATTTCAGTTGTGAAATAAGTTCAAGTTTCGCGACATTCACTGTTTGTTAAAATTCCATCCTGCGTAATCTGAACCAGAGCTCGGTAATTAGACCAACGCTATCGAATGTATAAATGACAGCGGCTCGCAAATTGCCATTAACCGTGCTAATCCCAGAAGTTGACAGCAGAATATCTTCATTAAGAAGTGAAGTCGGGTGATAATGATAATAACAGGTTATCGGGGCGCCACAGCCGCCCTTCGTATTCGAACGAACGACGGGTGTCGTCGCCACCGGAGCGAAAGAGTGAAAGGGAGAAGAGCACTTCTAAAAATATCCGTCGCCTCTTCTCTCTCCGCGATATCCGGAGACTCGGTGCAATTCGGCTCTTCTCCTTCATGGCCTAACTGACCTTGACAACATTTTGGAACGTGCAAGAGGCCGCCGCGTCGCCATCACATAAAATTCGCGGAGGGCCCGGTTCCGAACAAGAAGCGGTTGATGCCAAACCAACCAAAACGTCCAGGCCGCATTTCTGAACGTCTGGAACATGGACGTACTGGCCCAATTGAATCAATATCCAAAAATTTATTTTCATAACCTTCACTTAATATGAACTCAAAAAAAAATAAAACTTAAATTAATCTTAAAATAACTAACATTGTAGAAGATTTAATTTTGAATATCTTAAAATTGATAACGATATAAATTAGGGTACCATCCTGTCTCGCGCCATATATAGGTCGGTTGATTATATAAGTTGTTCTTGGTCGTTTTCCCTTTAGCCGGCGGCCTGCACATACTAACACAGAAACACAGATAGCTAAGCGCCCGGTTTTCATGGGATCCTTCGGGCGAACACAGCTGCTTGTCGAGGCCTTTTCAGCAGCACGTGCTGCCTGAACAACAAGAAAATATAGGTGAACGGGTTAGGAGGATCAAAAACAAGGCTGCGCCAAGGACCCGCATTCGAACCCTTAAGGGAACCATTTGTATACCCAGACTGCTCTTTTAACCCTCCCTCCCGCAGCATTTTAATAATTTTACTACGAATAAAAGACGGCACGCGTTCTTCGGAGTTTACCCCAAGGCGTTTATGGGGCGATTTCAATTTGAAATTCTCCAAAAAAGAATTTTATCGTTAAGATTTCTAGATAATAATATTTTAAAAGTGATGAAACTGTCGATGACTTTAAAATTTCTACCTGTTTAAGCCGATAAATACATACTGTTTGCGTTTACGGAGCCAAAAGGCTCTTGGGTTGTATAAGCCTGAGAGGTGTTAAAACACTCATACCACCCTCCGAGGTTCCCAGAAATCCACATAAATCTCCATCGTTTTCGACTTTTAGGACCATGGGAACTTATCAAGTACAGCCCAGAGAGGACAAAATAGCTGGGACATTAACGTGCAGGACCCCAAATGCCCGGCTTAATTTTACGATTTCGCCGAAATCGGACCGCGCAGTCGGCATAATTAGTCCGAAAGTTGCAAGTTTTTTGATAAATTAGGGAGCGGTAAAGGTGAAGAGGGAGGATTGCGATGGGGGCGCACGATAAATCAGCCGAATCAAATCAAAAAGAGATTACGCGGTCCCTTGCTGTAATGATTCTTCTTTCGTTCGTTTCGACGGGTCGGGTTTCTGCGAAAAAATCCCGGTTACCATTTGACCTGGCTGTGGGTGCACGAAGACTGACCTTGAAATAACCAATAAAGTTTTTAAAATCTTTCGGAATCTCACCTCCATTCAACCTTAGTACCTAATTGTAATAGATCATTTTATTTAAGACATAAAAAAGTCAAAGCAAATAGCTCAGTCAGCGTTCTATACATACGATGATGGTCTAAGTCAATCCGCGCCTGTTAAAACGTTAAAACCACATAACGCAGCGGGCATCCGATTCCTAAATTCTTATCTTCCAAGAACTGAGCGTGACCGCACGGACAATAAGTACAATCTTCGGTTAACGACGGTCCAAGCGGAGGTTTAACGAGCGATTACAAGAATGAATTTCTCGTAATTGACGTATTCGTATTCGAACCTAACCAGATATCGAGCGGTAGCGAAGACGGCTAAACCGCCTATCCACAGTCCGATCTCTAGATCTTGTGCTGGGTACCGAACAAAAGGCATTTCCCTCGACCCATATCAGAGATATGCCACTTGAAAATTGCGTTAAAAGTCATCCGACGCAGGTACGCGAGACCGGGGTTCTTCCCTAGTCCATAATTACATGGTTGCCATTCTCAGAACGTTGACTAAATGTTGTTGGTATGGCTCGTCTCTTTCGTAGGATGGATCTTACTGGCAGCTTGTTTATCGATGGAGACGGAGCAATTATAAGTTTGATTGCAATAATTATTGCAAAAATTGCAGTATTATTAAAATTATTTCGAATTTTAAAATTTCCCGCCACACACTTCATAAGCGATTTAGTTGAGTTGTAATTACGAAAGATTGGCACAAAAGAAACCGCCGCCGACGATGTGAAAAGTTAAAGGGGGATAGTATTTCGTCTGATGAACCTAAATGTTTTTATTTTATCGCGGTCGCTAATGACCTCATTAGATAATTAATCGAGTTTCTTTAAGCGAGCGGAGGCATTTAAATTACACCGGTGCAAAGGTATACCAGAAGGACCAGTTTATGCGATCAGGGTATAATTATTCTTTGACCAAAGACCAACAATATCATAAATAATTGGTGGTTTGAGTTTTTGCGGACGTATTGTATTGGATTTATAAAAAATTTCGTTTAATTAATTTCAAAATAATGTTAGGATTTCAAATTTATTACATTATGATTCATAGGAATCTCATAAAAGTTAATTGGAAAATTCTATGAATACCATTTGCCGAGGCCTTGGGATATGGTCCTTTGTTCGCCATTACCGAATTTCATAGTTTCCTGGAAACGGAATACCGAATGCACATAATTATCTATTACCTGTGCGGTCGTTTAACGTGGACCAATTCTTGGAAAGCGCGATAAACTGGAAGGCTGGGATGGTCATCTTCCTTTTGTGGTAGCCGCCCATAAACCGCATTATATAAATTTACAGGTAATAAAAGATGGCGGAACGCGTACGCGTTGTTTGTGTCGGCGAAATCAAATTTGAACCCTCGAAAATCCACAAGTTTCAAACACCTGCTGTTTAGACATTAACGGACGCCGATCGGTGTATGCTTTCGTTGTCGGCAAAGAACACGAAAACGATAAAGACGAACGATTTTTAGAGGGAGACCGAAAAAGGTTTGTACCTAAATTTGCCCTTGGAACCTTTTTTGTTTCGTCTGTACTAGATTTAATGCATTTGCTGCGAACTTCCCCACCCAAAAAAAGCTCTATAGACATACCTACCATTGGCGTACAGTTAATTTATCATCATTAAATTTCGAAAAACCCTCAAAATCGATTTATTTTTTTCTCATTTCCTTTTTAATTAATTTGAAAATTATAAAAAGAAATTTATACTTCTTAAAATTAAACAAAAAATTGTTGTAACCCAAATAACTTCTCCACCACTGCTTTACTGTACCATATTAGTTACAGTCTGTCCTTGTTTAAAGGTCCACATCTCAGGTATTGCGCTCCGCAAACCCGGTGGTCCTAGTAGACGATAATTGATCAGCAAAGTCAGTCGAAATACGATAATCGCCTTTAAAACCATTTTCATTACGGTTCAACGGCACGAAACTCGATTTCAAAATTTTAAGATTGGAAAATTACCTTCAATCATCAACGCCAGTTATAAGAGATTTTTTAAAGTACGCCTGTCACTGGTATTTATGCCGTCAAAAGTTCCCTCCGTCATATAGTTTATGTGAACACCCGGTGCTTCGTTCAAAAATTGTCATAAATTAAAGCGGTCCGTTGGTTATCCTGAACGTTCACTTGGCGCACGTTTTAGATTTGACCAGCATTTTTTCTTCAGAATTAATATTTTTATAACTCATAATTATGACTACCAGTTTTGTGTAACGTTATCTTTGATCTTTTCGTTAATCTGCTTTTCAATTTCTTACAGTTATTCCTTCGATAAATAAATCATATTTGATATGAGAAGAATGTTGCTTAATTTGGATTGGACTACTAATAACGCTGTTTGCTGACGATATTTTGCTTATTGTAGAAAAGAATCCGTATTCCGCGAGATGAATCACACAAGTTTATATTCCTAAGCCAGAAAGTATGTTTATCCCTTTTTAGAAAGAGAATATCTCATCTAGGTAATACAACGCTCAAAAAATAAACTCATGATGGGCTGTGAAACTCTTTAATAATAATAATAATATATTTATTGAGCTGTCAAATGTTTTACAAAATAAGTAGGACAAAGAAAAAAAAAAATTTTCCCCCTTGAAAGTCCTTACTGCTGTTTTTTGTTGTAGGAAAACATCTTTCGCCGCCGATGAGTTCCCCCAAATTAAGATACCATATGATGCCCTACTATGAAAGTTGGCAAAGTACTAGCTGCGTCATATCCAACTATTGTTTTAATATTTCTGATAGTAAAAATCGCAACAGAGATCTTTGAAGATACTCAACTTGAACTCTCAACTTGAACTCACTTCTGATTTGGCATTACGGAAATCCCTAGGAATTTTATTGGTTCTTGCTCCCATCCCTCAGGTTTTGTCGTTAGTAGAAATTTCTGCGTCTTGTCAACATTTAG